TCTCCCCCCATCCCTGCCGACTCCCGATCCCTCAAACGTCCATTCCGACACTATTAAATAACGACAACTGATGCGGCTGTTTGGTCTGATGGCTGCTGACGTGATGATGGATAGTTGGTTGTGTGAGGCAGGGACATGGGTCCTAACCATTTTTGAATTTTTCGATCAACCCTCGTAACAAACAACTCTTTTGCAAACCAGAGCCAGCATAAGTATGTTGGGATAGAGAGGCAGTGCTCCGCACGACTAAGCTTCAATGGAGTACTCAACAATCTATCAGTCCTTTCGGTAGCACCTTGTCCTCTCAGCTCTGAGCAATGTTGATTCTCCAGTTGGAACTTTAACCCAATGAACTCCAATCCTCATTCCGTCATTAAGCGGAATTTATTTGAATGAGTAGCGAATCATCTGTAAAATGAATTCGAATATTTTACAGTTTTAACCAAATATTCTGTGATTTAAAGTGGCTCAAAGTAATAGGAAGGAACAAGAGCAGCAATTACAGACTTAGGAGGCATATGCATTTGTTGTAATTCGTTTTCATCCAAATATGCGAAATTGAAGGCTTCCTGCTGCACTTCACGGCGGAACGCAGCAACACTACTACTTTCTGCTCAGCCATAGTCAGTTCAAATCGGCGTCGTATTAACATGTAAGAATTATAAAACACGAAGTTGGCATGAAAAGATGCCAGATCACGTCAATCACAAAACCCGTCTCAACTGATCTTTCACCAAACACAACATGCTCTGCATCAAACAATACCATAACGTGAGCAGAGTGGGATTTGAACCCACGCGTGTTGCCACACTAGCACCTGAAGCTAGCGCCTTAGACCGCTCGGCCATCTGCCCTGTTAGACCGAGAATCAATAAGGAAAACACCTAATATTTTTCCGTATTATTCACATTTTCCTTAGTCATTTAAATTTGGGTGTTTATTCTGGTAGGTTCATTGGTCAAGCTTACTCGTTACTTTCTCCTTTTCTGAAGATTATTTTACGCAATCCAAACACGAAATACTTATACGTTTACTGAAATAATGTGAAATCGTTTGGCTATTTGTGTCCACCACAGAATCCAAGTTCGAATTACGCATGCCCAATTAAAACATCAATCAAAATGGTCCAACGTGAGTTGAGCTATATAGCCCGTTCTAGCCTTACTAAACAGGCTCTTACTAACTAATCTTGCCGCAGATCTTTCCTCCGGCTCAGTCAATGACCTCCTCCAAGCATTTGGTAAGTCTCGTCCAAAAGTCCACATCCAACAAACTAACCTTGTTTCAGTATCATTGATCCCTCAAACAAAAGAGAATGCCCACATTCCTCAAGAGTACGAGCAGCAGGTTTGTCGATGTTTATGTGGTGTTGTCAATCAAACTCAACAGTGTCTCCCCGAAGGTCCAATTGACGGCTGAGCTCAAGGCAGCGCACGACACCCGCCTCGCAGAACTGAAGCAAGCTACCAAAGCCGCTCAAATTGAAGTTAACGTGAATGGGGGCAACTTTTTCCAAAAGAGCAAGAACGTATGTTAACGCCTTCCTGTCTTGTCCCACATAGAATTAACTAACTTGTCTCATATTGACAGGAGCAACGAAAGCTAGTCCTACAACAAGCAGAAACTCTCGAACTCGAAACCAAAGCCGCCCAAGAATCCGTCATGGCCGAAACACAAGCACAGCTCGAAATCCTCGCCGCAAAAGCCGAAAGCCTCACAAGAACCCGCGCGGAACTCACGAACCTGTTCTCCAAGATCCTTCTACTCAACCCGAAACCTGAAGAAACATATGCCACCAATCTCCTCACCCGCGCCGTCACTCAGTTCTACAAAGACCACATCAACGCCCAAAATATGGACGTTGCCATGCGTCACATCACCCGTGGACTTCGTCTCATCCTCGCGGAAAAGGGTACAGACTATGAAGTAACACTGGTTGGTGCACAAGCCATGGACCGCGGGAAATACGAAGATATTTCGTTCGGATTGTATTTCATGGGACTCGCGCAGTCCGCGTGGCCTCGACTGCGTAAACTAGATGTTCCAAAGCAGTTGGAAGAGTATTTCGGGTACAGGTCTGCTGTTACGAGGCTTTTACGCGACGCAAAGACGTTCTTGGTGACGGATCAGCAAGGTTTGTATGAACGCTTGAATCGGAGTTATGCCGCTGTGATTCAGTTTTCTGCGAATTTGGAGAGCGTGAGGCATGCTGCGTTGAATGAGATGTTGATTGGTGCTGGTATGGGAGATCATGTTGTTAGTGTTCAGGATTTCGCTGCTTTGTTTCGAAGGGATATTGTCCGTGTTGAGAAGTGGGCGAATTTGAAAGAAGAAGCAGACTCAGAGGAAGAAATTGGAAAGGCTGTCGGGTTATTCTATCTTGATTTAGATGTAGGATCACGTATGGAATTGTTGACTATTGAGCCCCCTGCGTATGATAGAGGGTTTTAAGTTCAATAGAAGTAAGGCAGAGAATAGTAAAGCATTAAATATTAAACTATTTCTAGTGTCCTTATGCAGACGAAAACACGAAACCATATAAAAAGGTTTCTTACGCCACAATAAGTCTGGTAATTGATTACTGGGCTTGAGATTTTTGATTAGTCTCAGGGATAGCGATGCTTATTCACATTGATTTCTTCTATTCAAAGTAAATCAGAAAGGAGGTTATTGCGAAGGGGCTGAAGCCACCCAACCGCAGTTTGCAACGCCACGAAATTTCCCTCAAATTTTTAAGCAGCAGTCAATCAAGCGTGAGAGAACCAAAACTGAAATGCCAGGAAGTGAGTGCTGAGCTGTCAGCAGTTCCACTGTGTTGTAGCTTACCAGCAGGCCCGACAGATCAACTAGCCAACCCAATCAAAGACCATTTGGAAGCGTTTGGTAATCTTATCAACATCGCCTTACATCATCAAGCTGAGTAGCCATCACAGTCTCCTTGATCCCTCTCGCCAAAGACAATGCAAGCATTCCAAAAGAGCTTGAACAACAGGTTTGTGACAATTGCAGTAAGGGCGTAGTGATTGATGTATCTGTGGTTAGATTCAATTAATAAACGAGCTCAAAGTTGCACACGAAGCTCGACTTGTGGAGCTCAAGGCAGCCACCAAAGCTGCACAGGTAGACATTAACATGAATCAAGGGAAACTCTTTCAAAAGAGTAAAAACGTGAGCGGCTGAGATTTCCCCAAAGCCCCCATTATCAACATATTACTAATCAAGAAACCAAACAATAAGGAAGAACGAAAGCTAGTTCTCCAACAAGCCGAAATCCTGGAACGCGAAACTAAAATCGCTCAAGAATCTGTCCTAGTCGAAACACAATCTCGCCTTGACACCCTCAAGCTGAAAGCTTCATCTTTTGCCTCAACCCGTGCAGAACTTACGAACATATTCTCCAAAATTCTTCTCCTTAGCCCAAAGCCAGATGAAACATACGCCTCGAACCTTCTGACTCGTACTGTTGCCCAGTTTTACAAAGACCACTTAAATGCACAAAATATGGATGTAGCAATGCGCCACGTTCACCGTGGAATTCAACTGTTACAAAAAGAAAAGGGAACGGAATATGAATTCACGATGGTCGGTACACAAGCTGTTGAGCGTGGGCGATACGATGACGTATCTTTCGGATTGTATTTTATGGGACTTGCGCAAAGTGCGTGGCCGCGTCTTCGTAAATTGGGAGTCCCAACTGTGTTAGAACAACATTATGGATATAAAGCAGTTGTTCAGGCGATGCTTAGAAGTGCACAAGGGTATTTGGTTCAAGAGCGGAATGGATTATATGAACGCTTGAATCGGAGTTATGCTGCAGTGATTCAGTTTTCTGCGAACTTGGAGAGCGTGAGACATGCTGTGTTAAATGAGCTTTTGATTGGTGCTGGGATGGAAGACTATGCTTTGAGTATTCAAGATTTTGCGACACTGTTCGCAAGGGATGTTGAACGCATCGAAAAGTGGGCAAACTTAAAAGAAGAGGCAGACTCTGAGGAGGATATTGGGAAGGCGGTTGGGCTGTTTTATCTCGATTTAGATGTAGGATTCCGTTTGGAGTTGTTGACTATTGAACCTCCTGCCTATAGCCATGAGTTTTGATTCTAATTTACTGAAAATGATTGCGAATAAAAGACATATATCAACAGCACTTATGCCGACGGACCTAGCCAGCTCCGACAAAACAGCAGAACATGTAAACAATCTGTTATTGTGAGACATGACGCATTCTTTCACGCCAAGGAAAACCAAGCTTTAATACTACAATTTTTAAAAGTTGCTAGAGCGATTCCTTCTAATGTAAGTTGCTTAACTCTTTTATTTTGAACATATTTAAGTTGTTTGTGGTGCACAAGGGAGATTTGGTCTTGTCTTGATTGACGCACAGCTGTGAAAACTCATCATCCCCACACCAATACTCCAACAACTCTTAAAACCACTCCCAGACGGGGAATTGAACCCCGGTCACGGCCGTGAAAGGGCCGGATCTTAACCACTAGACGATCTGGGACGTGTTGAGCCTAACAATCATTTTGCTCATGACACACTGAACGCCAAAGATAAATCGTCAGTCGGAGTCACCGCTTAGAAATGATCATGAATTAAATGAATTCAATATGTTGAAATAGGGATATTGTCGGTTAAGCAGCTTGGCTCAACAACAACCACAGACCTATCCATCCGGATCACACCACGGAAAATACTTCTACCCGACGCGTTTTAAAATATTTAATTTAGCACGAAAGAACTGGTTGAACGTGGAGAATGCTTTGGATCAAGGCTTCAACTTCGACAATTTTGGGTTCAACCCAACTCGAATCTTTCCTCATTCTAAAAACAGCCATATACTGTTTGACTGTTTCCAAGCTGATGCACCGAGCGTGATTTGTTGAAGTGACGTGCATCACTGTTTCCTGTTTGTGAGCTTGTTTCCTGTTTGCGAGCTCACTTCTTCCTTTCTCAACTCACTCGCATCCACTCCGCCGCTGACATCACAAAACACGTGAGCAGAGTGGGATTTGAACCCACGAGTGTTACCACACTAGCACCTGAAGCTGGCGCCTTAGACCGCTCGGCCATCTGCCCCACGATACGATGATGGCATTATGTTTTCTGATTCTCCTTATGTCACCAAATCACCATACTAACTAACATATTCCGTAACGTCTTTCAAATTTATGTTTCCGTAACCATTTACTGTTTGTACTGCCGATAGCTACACAACTGAAAGCACTTTTTATTTTATAAACCGACAACATAACATTACTGTTAAATCTGACACACCGCAAACGACCTGCCAATGGAAATTTCTTGATGCCAATTTGCAATTAAGGAAGCTCAGTGTGGCTTTTCTCGTGCACTTCCTCGACACAAATTGATTGGGTTATTGGTATGTCGTGTGTCGTCGGGCAATCCAATTCCAATCAAAAATGAGATTCATTGTTTTCGATGTTAATTGCATGGTACTTAAAGTGATACAGCAAGAAAAGCAGAACAGAATCATGTCTGAACTAATTGGAGACGCATCTGCAGGAATCATTACAGGAGTGGGCGTATTTTATGCTTATGCATTCCAGACAACAGCCCCTTTCGGATTAACCCCCACATATTCCGTCAAAACTCTCCCCAACCGAACGCCATGGGCTGATTGCGCTACGGATTGTTTTCCATTAAACGATGAAGACCTAGAACTGGGTATTGGAATGTTTTTCAAGTTTGATGGAAACAATGGGAATTGCTATTGCAAGAAACCTGCAGTTGCAGAATGCAATCTGAGTTTATTTATATTCTCAAAAACATGTCTGCAAAGTATTACATGTGTCGACTGGCCGTCACTGATGGATGACTCGTCTACAGTTGCAAGAGGAGTAGAATGGGAGGAATGCGTGCAACAGGCGGCGAATTCTGGCACGTCTATGGCTGTGTATGAATCTTTGACCCGTGCTTGTTATCCCAAACATTTTAAGCCTCAAAGTGGAGCTTATGCATCGAGAGTATGGTCGGGTTATTCGACAACATGTCCAATTGATTAACTAATAAAAACGAAACTTTGATGAGTTTGCCAATCAAAAAAAGTCTGCATTGTGTTGGCTATTCAGTGAAGAACAGGAAAGAACGAACAATGCCTAGCACACCATCCACAAGAATAGCAGACGCATCAGCAGGAATCTCAACAGTCAATGGAACTGTTATGGCCCTAGCATTCCAAACTGCGAATCCGTTTCCGCAAACCAATACTTATCGTGTTAGAACATTGACAAATCGCCAGACGTGGATTCAATGCGCAACAGATTGCTTTCCATCAACAGACGCAGACCAACAAAAGGGCATTGGAATGTTTTTCACGTTTGATGGAAGCAACGGGAGTTGTTATTGTAACAAACCAGGGGTAGCAACATGCAACTTGAGTGTGGTGGTGTTTTCCAAGACGTGTCTTCGAAGTTTTAGTTGTACAGACTGGTGGCAATTGATGGATGAATCCGGAAAAACGCCCAGAGGAGTAGAGTTGGGGGATTGTGTGAAGCAGACGGCAAATTATGGAACGTCAATGGCAGTGTATGATGCATCTGGACGTAACTGTTACCCCAAGTTCTTTAAGGCACAAAATGGAGCGACTTCATCAAACATATGGTCGGGATATTCTACAACGTGTCCATATAACTAGTTTCGCCTTCTTTCTTTCTTTAATTTATTTGGAATTCAATTTGACTGCGTCTGCACCACTGTTGTACCTCACCCGCATGTTCTTCTGCCTAGTTCAATATCGTCATATTCCTTTGTTCCACGCCGACTGTTTGGGCTTTCAACATCATTCTGGCTGGCTGAGTGTTCCGCCCATTCTGTGATATCTTCAGCTTTCCGTCAATTTAATTGCTGGGCTTGTTGTTGTTCCTTTTGTGCTGTGTTTGCACTTGACGCAGACTTTGACGCGTGCAATTGCGCTGTAACTGTTCGATGTGTTTGTGTTTACGACGTTGACAAGCTCGGCCGAGGACAAGAAGGTGGGTCTCGTTACACTCCAGCCTGAGGACAAATGAGTCATAATGCGCGTGTCGGTTGTTGGCGTTGCTCTGATGGCCGTGCTCTGGCGTAGCTGCGATGCACACACCTTCGTCAATGGCAATGGTGAGTCCCATGAACCAAAGGACCTCACAACCAGACCAGTTGGACTGCTGGGACCAAACAGCAACTAGCCTACTAGTTGGCCGGCGTGACCTGGTGCCGTATCGCAAAACCAGAAGCTTTTTTGAGGTTCTCCAGGAATATTTCTCTCATTTTCTCACTTTCTCAAACAATCATCGTGGTAGCGCTCATTTAATATTTATCTTATGAAAGCAGGCGGAACGAAGGGACCGGCAGCGCGATAACATGATTGTAGACTTTGTTTTGTTATTTGACAGTTTTTTTTAATGACAAAACAACCACGGGCGCCAGCTTAGAATTGAAAAATTGAAGTTTATCATTTTGCAGCTCAGGGAATGAGGAGATGCTGGTGTTTGTTCAAGCGTTTCAACGCAAATGGGCTTGATGGCACAGAATTTTATTCTCTCCATCAGAAATCCTTTTCATGACTGTACCCGTTGGTGGAGCGTTGAAGTCGTTGGCAGTTGGTTGATAGCCATATTGTTCAAACTTGTCATTTTTGGACACCAAAAGATGTCAGCTCTATTAAAAAAAAGAATTATGTTTTATTCAGTCTGGATTAATAAAAGGTACTGCCGAAGAGAGTGATAGAGACGAAATATGTAACCTTGAAAACAAAATCAGACAACAGAGGAGGCCACATCAGACTTCTTTGCAGCTTGAGAAGACTGAGTCACGCCTCTAACCGACATACTGGCTTTCAAGGACTGAGCAAATGCAGTAGCCATTTCAAAAAAGGCCTGTTGTAAGTCGGCGAGCTCAAAGATGAATGAACGTCCCTTGACACCGTCCTCCCTGTCCAAGACTTCACTAAACTTCAACTGCTTTAGCAAATCGATTTGCTTTGCAACAAGACCCAATTGACTTGCAATAGCCCAAGAAAATAATCCTCCTAAAAGAAGAAAGGCGAGAATGATACCAAGCATCATGAAACCAGTTCGTTGGCCTGACGTCTTAATGTCAGCTTCAACGAAATCGACATTCATGTAAACTGCAAATATGAAGCGCTGTCCAAGTAGGGACATAACCTTTAGCTCCAACATCCAATTTTCACCATTGACGTTGCGATCGACGTACATCTTGACTCTTTTTGCCTGATCCATAGTGGCAACGAACTTGACCATTTGGGATTGGGAATTGTTGGCGGGATAAGAAGACAAGAAATAGATTGACAAGTCTTGTGCAAATGAATTGTTAACAGCTGTAAGAGGAAGAATTCCAAGACCGTCGCTTGTAAGAAATGTAATGGATGGATCTGAACTTGCAACAAGACTTCCGCTATTGACATCAAGGAATCCAGCAAACAATGGATACGGAATCGCATTCGCAATTTTCGAAAGTCTACCGCTAACAAATCCCATTGTCCTTTCACAAATAATTAGATTCCATTGTGGGTTTTCCTTATGCAAACTCACCAATCATTTCCAACGGTTACTTGTTCCTTGGTGACAGGATTCACAGCAATCTGAAGCGACGATTTAAGAAGTTGTCCACTTGCAACGAAGATGGATGTGAACCCGCTCCAAGTCTTGTTTGAGTAGTCAATGTTTGCCTTAAATGAGCCGCCTGGAAGTAGTGCTTCTGTAATATTAGTGCCCGGAAACGAAAACACTGGTGGTGCAATTGGGAGGCCCGTCGGATCGCACATCCAGAAAGACATAGCCAGAGTTTTGGAGTCTTGTGTAACCATTTGGACAGGTCTTGTAACATCGTCATCTGGATACACGTATCCAAACATAGTGCCAGATGGATAAGTATAGTAGTAGATATCTGAAGTTTGTTTCCGATTTCTGTCAAGAATGGTGAGCATGCTGGTAAGTGTCGAAGTAGCTCGGTCTGGAGTGGATTGGCTCCACTTATTTTGCTGGACGCCACTTAGTTTTTAAGTCCTGAGATAAAATTTAACTTACTCGAAAGTAAGTCGCTTGTAGTGCAGTCAGTTCTTGTAAGCTGGAGGCAGCATCATTGATGATTCCAAAGATTTGATCCGAAACGAGATCTTCCATTTCTGCAACTAAACTGTGAATATTATCCGTTGCAGAGCGGAGCGTGAGCTGCCTGGCAATGTGACGAAATTAACAATGGACAGATAGAAGTACAGAAGCAAACCCACCAGCCAAGTACTCCAACAGTGATGGTCGAGGTACAAATAAAGAGAATCATCAAGACAAAGAAACGGGGGCGGCCAGATACGGCTTTATGGACGAAGGCGGAGGCCACTGTGGTCTTTGTGTCGCGTCGCACTTCAGTTGATTGCATTATTGAGTGAAAAATGTCCCAAAATCTTCATCACTCATCGAAATTTATCCCCGGCTTTTCCTTTGTCTCGCGAGGAAGCTACCTTCCCGTTTGTGTAAATCATGAAACAAAGGAAACGGTCCAGACCTAGCTATTGTGCCAAAACCACACCAACGAAAAGAATGTGTCATGAATCAAAAAAGAACAAGTTTTCTCATAAGAATGATATTAATAAAAGGGAAAACTCAAAATAAAGTGTTAAACGTGGCTCTCGGTCCTTGTAGATACGCCTCTGATGTTCAGACTAGTCTTTAGAGATTGGGCAAACGCAATTGCCATTTCAAAAAAGGCTTGCTGCAAGTTTGCGAGCTCATAAATGAACGACCGTCCCTTTACTCCTGATTCTCTATCCAACACTTCATTAAACTTAAGCTGCTTCAACAAGTCAATCTGCTTCGCAACAAGGCCCAATTGACTGGCGATTGTCCAAGAGAACAAACCACCAAGACGAAGAAACGCAAGAATAATACCAAGCATCATGAAGCCAGTCTTTCTGCCTGAAGACTTTATGTCAGCTTCGACATAGTCAACATTCATGTACACGGCGAATATAAATCGTTGTCCAATCAATGACATAACTTTCATCTCCAGCATCCAGTTGACACCATTGACGTTACGATCAATATAAATCTTCTCATTGCTAG